CTCTTGGGGCCTTTAAATGCAACATGGGAGGGGCGGGGGGTGCATTAACCCTGCAGAAACCTCATCTGGCAGTGCAGAGGGTCCTGCCGTTGCAATCCCAAGCAGGGGCTTACTTCTCCCCACCTCAACCACACATGCGAGGACCGGGTGGGCTTCTGGAGAGGAGCCCTCCACCCCCCAGCACTCTTGGCTTCATCGCCTTCCCTCCTTAGGGCCGGGTCCCAGCATCGCAATGCTCCCGGAGGAGCCATGTACCTGCAGCAGCTTCTGCACCAGATGCAAGCTGCAAACTCCCTGCCTTTTCCACGGGGATGCCACATGCGCAGCACGGCTGCACGGGGACCACGCCAGCCCTGGAGCCGTGCAGGGCAGCCCCCCAGTCTAGGAAGCGACCTCCCGCAGACAGGAGGGATAGCTCAGGAAGACAAGCACGTCACAAGGCCACGCAAAGCGCTGAGCCCAGCAGGGACACTGGCTCCAGGTGGAAATTTTTAGGCATTATAGGTTTGCATTTTCTGACACAAAAAGGTCTTGAACCCAATAGGGTACGGGGCGCTTCACAATCTAGTCGCTGGCCAGGGATGTGCTGCTAGACACAAGCCATTATGACCGAATGATATTCAATATAAGCACCCCAACCGGTCCTCACCAACACCCCCTGACCACCAGCTTTAAAGGAGCTAGTTTCTCAAAGCACAGGAAGATGCAAGGTAAAATTCAGACAGAAATACCATGACTGGGAACTCTGAAGGAAGAGTCTGATCCCCGGCCAAAAAGCCACAGCTCCACGATCAATACGAGGACCACTTTAGCCAGCAGCCTGTCTGCAGCAAAATGAAGGCAGCAATTAGAAATACAAAGGCGACAGAGAAAATAGGACGACGGAAACTGTGATCGATCTAGGGCTCGGGTAGAAAATTGATAAGGGAAGGGACTCGGGAACAGAAAGTCTGTAGCCTGAAGAGCAAAAGGGAGGGCGATTAAATATACTTGGAAGGAGAGAAATCCTAGCATTACTAGATGGAGAGGGTGAAACAGCTAATGAGACACAAAAGTCTCAATGACTATTTCCACTGCACATTAGGAACGACTAGGATAACATGCTTGCATTGCATAAACCCGAAGTAAATGCTTTTTGTGGTCCGTAATTAAAGAGGATGACCAGTCTCTCCTAGGTGGAAAAAAAAAAAAAAAAAAAAAAAAAAAAAAAAAAAAAAAAAAAATCAGAAGACCCACATACATCTACAACCAAGAATCCTTAAATAATTGGCAGAGGAGATCTTTGCCCAGTTGGATTTAGTGTTTCATAAATCCTGGGAGACTCCCCAAGGCAGGAGGAGGGCGAGAAATGCATCACTGTTTAAAAAGCACAAGCATAACGATCCAGGCCGTTACAAATGAGGTCAGTCGATAGCAATCCTGGGCAAAAGAGGAGAGTCGACTGACGGAGAGCATGCTTCATCCCGGGACTACACAAAATAGGTCTCAACCAGATTTCATTCTTGGGGATTACAGACCCAGCTGATGAACCGTGCAGATGCAACGGCCCTGGGAAAGCCTTTCCCTTGGTATCACAATCCCTGCCGGTGACAAGGAAAAGCTTCGCTGCATCTCGGTGCGGCGCACGTTAAGTGGATTACGGATGTTGGTGGGGAATCCCCACGAAAGGACGGCGCTTCCAGCAGGCTTCTAAAAGGCACGACACGCAGGGGGGATGCTGATCCCCACCATCTTCAGCGGCATCAGGACAGGGCTTATAAGCCTCATAGTAAGCAACACCCACTCGAGCATCCTGTTAAACGTGGGCAACAGCCACGTTTCTGCATCCAGGGACGAGGTCCGCAAACCGGCCAGGAAAGCACCAACTCAGGAAGGATGCAGGGGTTGCAGCACCTTAACCAGAGTCCCATGGATGCACCGAAAGGGAGCAGGAGCAGGGAGGGGACCGGACCCAAGTTTCACTGAGAAGTTAAATCCTGGGACAAGTCACCAGCAGAGACCGTGACTATCTGCATCGCTGGGGAGTTTTTGGAGCAGGCTGGACATACAGTCAGGAATGACCTGGCTAGAGGTGGTCCTGCCTGGGGCAGGGGATGGAGCAGAGGACCTCTCACAGTCCCTTCCGGTCCCATTTTCTGCAAGCCTATAACCCCGAAGGCACACAGCAGCAGATGCATGCCTGGGTCTGAGAGGCCTGGTATGTACCTCGGACGAGGAGGTCACCTCCCACAGTTATCTGCAAAGACTAACCTGGGGCGTGACCTATTTCAGCTGCTCTGCAGAGGACCCCGATGAACCACTAACCCCCATCAGACTTTTATTACTTTGCACCGTTTCATATCAACCCACTGGCTCCCAAGGGCCACGTGGACAAGTCTGGCACAGCAAGCAGAAGAAGGGCAAACAGGGGCTTGGAGATGTGTCATAGACCACATCCTGCTCACAGTCACTGGAGACTCTCCCATGCTTTCTGGTACAGTCGTCTACACGCGTTAATCCCACGGGTGTGAAACCTCCCAAAGCCACGTGTGCAGCGTGGGGCAGCCCCAGCGGAGAGGACCAAAAACAGAAGAGCTTCTGTCCTGTGCCATTCAGAGACCTCTTGCTCCGACAGCAGCACCTCGAGACCTCCAAATCGGGGCGAACGGTGCTGCAAACGTGCAAAAAAATGCCCCCCCAAAACAGTTCAGCCTCAAGGCTTCATCCCCCTTCCAGCTGGCCTCCATGTGGGCAAGACGTTAACCACACACTTAAGCTTGAATTAAGCCCCTTAACGAGGTCTCTTTTGAGCTCCTCTCTCTTCCCAACACCCCCTGCAAGACCAGACAAACCCACCCTTCTTCCCTTTTTTTAAGCATCCCCATGTCTTCCTCCAGGGCTGCCCACATTAGGCCAGCAAAAAGTCCACCATGGCCAGCTGGGCCATGACAAACAGGGGCTGGCCGGAGTCACACTACATTATATAGATTACACAATTAAATAGTTAATCACACAACACAACTATCGTCACACATGCAAAGCAACTATCACGCGATTAACCAGCCATCTGCACAATAAATTGAGACCAGCCACGCTGCAAAGGAATGAGCGCACCATAAAAATGGCTATCCAGCTACAAAGAGCCAACCAGCCATAAAAGATAGTGCTGGAAAAGGTGTAGTAGCTCTAGAGTGGTGCTCTGCATTTTCCAGTTTTTATTTTCAAAAAAAAAATAAAATAAAATAAAAATTCCGGGAATTTTTCAGGGTTTATCTTCCAAACATAAAAACCGGGTTGAAATGGAGATAAAAGGAAGAAAAGAAAAGAAATCGGTTTATATTGGGGAAAATAATGATACGTTCCACAGTGGTGAGGGAGGGAGGGAGGGACTGGAGTAAGGCTGGGACTA